TCCAACTCTCCAAGTTGGTTCAGCACAAAGACCACGTGGTCGAAACATGGATCGCATTGGGCCTCGCTCGAGCGCGAGACATACATCACCAGCTACACCTGCCGCTTGCTCTCCGATCCGCTGAAAACGCAGTATCTCGAGACGACGGAGGCCATTCGCGCCCAATTCCTTCAACAAGATCGTGTTTTGAACCTTGCTACAGCGGAATGGGAGGTTCATAGCAACAGACTCCAAGCTCCGGCTGAAGGCTGAGCACGATTTCAAGGAGGACACTGGATGACAGCTACTTCTTGGGGTCATGGCGGGACACAGTCTAAAGGCGAGCCGTTGCTACATCCTAATTAGTTTGTAAGCCCTAAGACCCCCCCCCCCCCNNNNGCCCCATAGTAGTTCCTTTTTGTGGATTACATTTCGGATCCTATTAGGTAATCCCAAAAAGGAACTGCTATAGGGCCTATGTGTAGATGCATCTCCTTAAAACTTAGTTCCCCAATACCCAACCTTTAAACTTTGTGGGTTCTTAGAACTTAGTGGTAGTCGGAAAGTTTGCCCTTTTATTTCCTTGGCTTGTTGGGGAAGGAAGTTAAAAGGAGTGGCAAAGACCCGGCTGGCTCGAAATCGAAGTTAAACGGACTTATATTCTAACCCTCAGGGTCCTAAGGACCCGGTAGTAAGGTACTTTGGTCACGGATAGTACTTAATATAGGTCAACAATTGGGAGAGCATGATGTTTATTCTTAGGGGTACTTACAAATAATTTTTAATCTTTGGTTACTATAAACCCTAAGAAGCAGCTGAAATTATAGTTTTTGCTAGGGGTCTAAGTTCAGTATAGTATTAGGTACTTCGACCCGTAGGGTAAGGCCTTCATACCATGATCCCACTTCAGTCTTGTGGATCACTCGCTTGCCAAGTTTAGGGTTTAGGCTTAATACAGGGGCCTTAATAATTAGAATAGGGTTTGGGGTATATTATACTATAACTATCAAAAGAAACCCCCCAAACCCTATTCTAACTATTAAGGCCCCTACATTAAGGCATTTGGTGTCAGTCATCCTAAAGCTCTGAATTCGGATCTCGCGAAGTCAGATTTCACCCTGAAGTACATGAGGCGCAAGGTTTAGGGTTTAGGGTTTAGGGTTTAGGGGCTTAGGGTTTAGGGCTTAGGGTTTAGGGTTTAGGGTTTAGGGTTTAGGGTGGCAAGCCCCGAAACCCCAAACCCTCAAACCCCTGAACCCAGCGCTGTTGTGATCCAAAGCCGACGCCCTATACTGCAGTTCCCCAACTTTGCAATTCCGCGCGGTCTCAGCAAGCCGGCGACACACTCCTTCCTAGAATCCCGACTACCCTACTTTGGGGTTGTCCTGAAATGTGAACTAGGATCTATGTGGGGCTTGGGTGAGCATATTTTTCAGGATCGGTGTAGGAGTCTTGGTGAGTGTACCTTCTAAGTGTCGTTGTTTGGGGTATACAGTGTAGGCTTAGGGACACAATGTGGGCAGTTTTCTAAATTAGGGTCCCTTTTTAGGTCCCCAACATAGTACGGCACCCTTATATAAAAAGGCTCTAAAAGGGACCCTCATTTGGAGAACTACCCATGTATGATACAAACAGCCCTTAATTGGGGTTATAAATATAGTTCCCCTAATTATAACCCTACTTACTAAGTCCCATGATCCTTTAAGTATGTATGATACAAACGGTAGCTCGCAGATGTGAAGAAGGTCGCTCGAGATCGGGAGCTGTGGATCCACCGCTACCTCGCGCACAGGGAGCTGCTGTGCGCCAGCGCACTTGGATAATGCTTACCCTGGGCTTTGGAGTAGCATACTTTAATACTTTTTTGGGGACCTGTTCCTTAAAGGAACCAATATGGAATAAAAGTCTATACTTTTTTTCTCCCTGGTTACTTCCAAGCCCAGTTACCTTTGTGGGTTTCGAGTCGAGGATTGGTTGTTTGATGGGGATACCAGCTGGTCTACTCGGAACACGTAGCAACGATTGTCCTTAGGGTTCCAGAAGCATTATAAACGCAAGACCCCGGTCTAACTATTGAGGCCCCTACATACTTAAAGGATCATGGGACTTAGTAAGTAGGGTTATAATTAGGGTAACTATACTTATAACCCCAATTAAGGGACTTATAACCTTACTTACTAAGTCCCATGATCCTCCAAGTACATATTCCCACACTCCACGCGACGTCTTTGGGGCCGCAAAAGCAACTCAAGACTCCTATACCTTAACTCATCTTAGGGATCCCAAACATAAATCCTTTACTTGAAATCATCTTCGAAAACCCCAAATATGAATTAAGGTATGCTCCTTCCTTAAGAGAGATTGGAAGGTCTAGGTCCCTTCAGGCCACCAAATGCCTCACTGCCTTCCACCTGGGCCGTAGGCTGATATCATCATTATGGCATGGAGCGCATTCCTGTTGCTACTGTGGTTGATATGGTGAGATTTCGGATGACGACGACATGGGTGATGCCCTAAACCCTAAACCCTGAACGGATGATGGTGACGACGATGACGATGCTGCTGCTGTTCATGCCATGATACAGGTGATGGCTCGATATGAAGGTTTCCGAAAACAAGGGGTACCTCATTTTGGGGTCCTTAATTATTATAAGGATCCTACTATTTAGGGTACTCTATTTTGGGGTCCTTAGTATAAGGATCCTACTATTTAGGGTACTATATCAGGGTCCCGTATTTGTGGACGCCTAAAGTCTTTAGACCCTGAACTCCTAAACCCTTTTACCCCTGAACCCTAAACCCTAACTAAACCAAATACCCAAATCCTGAACCCCAAACCCCAAGCCCCTAAACTCTAAATGGGTAGTTCTCTAAATTAGGGTCCCATTTTAGGGTCCATTTTATAGGGGTGCCGTACTATATTTGGGATCCAAGAAAAGGCCCTAATTTAGAGAACTACCCAAATTCGAGTCACGCATTTCTCCCCCCATATCAGCATGCTGCATGCGGGCCATTTACCAGCCTTCACACCCGGGCCCGCGCTAGCAGGGCCTGACGCATACCCCCGCGGCCGGAGTCAAAGGAGATCCTTGCGGACTGTCCAGATAAGGGTTTAGGGGTTCAGGGTTTAGGGGTTAGGTTTTTTTAGGGGTTTAGGGTTTAGGGGTTTAGGGTTTTTAGGGGTTTAGGGTTTAGGGGTTTAGGGTTTTAGGGGTTCAGGGTTTAGGGGTTTAGGGTTTTTAGGAGTTTAGGGTTTAGGTTTTGAGTCTGCAGCTTCTTGTTTCTGGCCTTTCAGGTTTTGGGATTTCATGTGCATCCTCGCCAGGTACTCCAACACGCTCTGCGAGCGAGCGCTGACAGAGAGGCCGCTGAAGCAATCCTACCTCCTACATCTTTTTCAAATCCTACATCCAGAGTCCACATACCGGACGGCCCCACGGCTGAGAAAATACTTTTCCTCACTTGCGTAGAAAAGCAAGACCAATACAAGCAATAACACCTATGACAGCTCTTGTAGTCTTGTAGAGCATGAAGGAAGAGCGTGTAGTATTCAGAATTCATGACGAAGAGTTCTGAACAACAACGGTCTTGGCTCGTAAGTTCAACCTGAAACATGCTGGCTACGGCTCTTTGAACTCAGAGAAGGTGAGAGGCGTGCAATATGGCTTTGATGCTTAGAACAGGGTTTGGGGGTCTGTTTCGACCCCCTAAACCCTAACCCCTAAACCCGATACCCTAAATCCTAAACCCTATACCCTAAACCCTAAACCCTGAGGAGTTCAACGGATATTTGCATGCCAAGGGGCTCCTTGAAAGATCCTCGGCATGTCGCGAGACAGCTGAGCACAAAAAGACTTAATAGAGAACCTTAATAGGGCTTAGGGTTTAGGGTTTAGGGATTTAGGGTAGTTAGAATAGGGTTTTTCGGCCCATTATGCTATAATTAAAATACGGAACCACCAAAAATTAGGATTGGTAATTATGTAGGCTTCTATATTAGAATTCTGAAATAAGCCCCGGCAATGCTCCACCCCTTCCCGACGTAAGTAGTAATGTTCCCTTTATAGGCCCTCATGCTTATGTCACCAGGACCCTTTGAGGGGTAAGGGCGAAGGGGTAGGGGGCATCAATATACCCAATAACGACTTGATAACTGATAACGGTTTAATAAGGGGTGTTCATGGAAGTATAGTACCCTACCCCCGTCCCCCGTACCCCCCTAAGGGTCTCTGTGATTTTGCTAGAATGTAACCCTAAACCCTAAACCCTAAACCCTAAACCCTAAACCCTAAACCCTAAACCCTAAACCCTAAACCCTAAACCCAACCCCTAAATCCCTAAACCCCTAAACACGTAAGCCACGAACCCTAAGACAGGATCGACGAAGGCACGAACTCGGCTCCGGTCGCCGCGTACGGCTGAGGACTTGATTTAGCTTAAGGGTACTTAGAAATAATTCTTAATCTTTGGCTACTATAAACCCTAAGAAGTAATTTTTGCTAGGGGTCTAAGTTCAGTATAGTTAGGGCGTTTAGGTTTTGGGGTTTAGGGCCTCAAGGGTTTAGGGCGTTTAGGGTTTAATTAGGGTTTAGGGTTTAATTAGGGTTTAGGGTTTAGGGTTTAGGGCGTTTAGGGTTTAATTAGGGTTTAGGGTCTAGGGTTTAGGGCGTTTAGGGTTTAATTAGTAGATTTTAGGGTTTAGGGCTTTTAGGGTTTAATTAGGGTTTAGGGTGGCGTTCGGGTTTAAGGGTTTAGGACCTCAAGGGTTTGTGGTTTAGGGCGTTTAGGGTTTAATTAGGTTTTAGGATTTTAGGGCCTCAAGTTAAGGGTTCAAGGTTTAGGGCCTCAAGGGTTTGGGATTTAAGGTTTAGACCATTTATGGTTTAGGGTTTAGGGCTTCATTTTTTGGGGTTTAGGGCTTTCGGTTTCAAGATTAAGGGCGTTCAGGTTTTAGGGTTTAGGGCGTTTAGGGTTTAGGGCTTCATTTGTAGGGTTTGTGGCTTCAAGGGTTTCGGGCTCATGGCTTCAAGTTAAGGGTTTAGGGTTTAGGG